TTGTGGATGGAGGAGATGACAGGCCAGTGTGTGGACGGAGGGGGAGACGGGTCAGTGTGGATGGAGGAGATGACTGGTCAGTGTGTGGATGGAGAAGATGGTACAGTGTGTGGATGGAGGAGAGGAGATGATTGGTCATTGTGGACGGAGGGGGAGACAGGTCAGTGTGGATGGAGGAGATGACGGGCCAGTGTGTGGATGGAGGAGATGGGTCAGTGTACAGGTGGAGAGATGCCTCCCTGTTTAAAAGCTCTAGCCCAGCAATTCTGAAGACATGCTTCCGATCCCCAGAACACGACCAGGAAGCTAGATGTGGTAGCCCACATCTGTAATCCCAGTACTCCCACAAAGGCAATCAGAGAGCTAGCCGAGAGTGCACAGCACAGCAGCAGAGTGCACAGCACAGCAGCAGAGTGCACAGCACAGCAGCAGAAACAAGAGACCTTATCTTAACAATGGGAGGGAGAACACCAACTACCCAAAGTTAGCCTTTTGAAATGAACCCTGCCAATATGAGCCAAATAGTTATTGACAATCATGTTGATTAAGCCAATTAAAGGTTTTGAGTCCTTTTCATTGGTGGCCAGACAAGAGTGGGCTTGAGTCTCCGCAAAGTCTCTTCTTACCCAAGCTCAGGAATACAGAGGTTTTAAGGATAAACCCACAAAGACCATCATCAACATCAAAGTTAGATGAAGGTCAGAGTAACCTTGAAATGTTCATTTCTAAAAGAACATAGTAACTCATTTAGACATAACAGGCCAATTATATTTTACTTACATTTTTCTGGTTATTTTAATTTTAATTATTTTGGTTAATACATCTGGACTTCGATCAAGGCTGTCTTCAATTTCTGATTATTATGAATAGAGCAGCAATGAACACAGATGAGCGAGAATAACCACGGTAGGATGCAGAGTCCTCTGGAGGTGTGCCCAAGCGTGGTACAGCTGGATCCATTCCCAGCTTCCTGATCTGTAAAGTCAAATACTGTGCTACAAATGTGCTGGTTAATTTTTTGTCAGCTTGACACAAAGTGGGGTCACCAGGGCAGAGAGAACCTCAGTTGAAGAATTACCATCCTCAGAGTGGCTTGTGAGGTGTTTTCTTATTTGCTAGTAGATGGAGGAGGACCCAATGCCCTGTGAATAGTGCCACCCCTGGGCTGGTGGTCCTAGGTTCTATAAGAAAACAGACTGAGCAATCCATGGTGAACAAGTCAATAAGCAGCACTCCTCCCTGGTCTCTGCATCAGCTCTGGCCTCCAGGTTTCTGTCCTGACTCCCGTCTATGAGGGACTGTAAATTGTTAAGCTGAAATAAGCCCTTTCCTCCCTCCCTAAGTTGTGTTTGGTCATGCTCTCACACCAACAGAAAGCAGACTGCTAATATTTACATTTCATCCTGTTTTCCCCACTTAGTCCCCTCTTGAGGATCGTGTGGGAAAGATGGATTTGTAGCTTCTGTGTTATTTAGCAAGAGGAGATGGACTTGAGGCTCTCTCCTTTATAGAACGTTGCAGCTCAAATTGAAGCTTTCCACATCCCTTCCAGAGCTTTATCACTCTGAAATCATTTCCAGCCATTGCCCAGAGGAGACTAACAACTCAAGGCAGACTCATCCGTGTTTGCTTTCAGAGCTTCCTAGTTTCAGTTATGGGGCCCAAGGTTGGATGCTGAACGCTTGGCTGGGCCTGTCTCTGAGGAATGAACTCAGTGGCCTGGATGCCAGACCGATCTGGGGCTGTGACTTCACTCTCCCAGATTTCATTCAGGGCGCCTCGGGCTAGTGTGTGCTGTTTGGAGGTCACCAGAGTTACTTTGTATCCAGGTTTGCCTTCCTCTTCGGCAGTGTTATTTATTAACCACCCCTGTCTTTGCCCACATCCCAGGTGGGCACTGGGTAAAGATGTAAAATTTCTTAGAACATTAGAGTGTGGTTGGTCAGGTTCTTTCTTGGTGGAAGGTGGGTGCGGGGTGGGGGTCAGGGTTTTGTGCTCTCCTCGCCCAGTGTTAGTTCACAGAACAGTGTTAGTTCAACACGTTCACAGAAACCCACACCAAGCACACTCTATCTGCATCTTTGGTCTGGCCCACTGCAGTGACTTTCTTGATCTCCCCCATTTCTGTCACTTGTGGATGACATTCTGCAGGCCACTTGACTGGGCAAGCTGGTTTTCTTTCTGTGGATGCCTATAATTGTGCGTCCATTCCCTAAGATTAAGAACAGATGAGGGGGCGGCAAGATGGCTCAGCAGATACGTGTGCTTATAACGAGGCATGACTTGGATTTTATCCTAGAAGCCCACAGGGGACAGAAAGAACCAGTTCCCCAAAGCTGTCCTCTGGCCTCTCCTCACTCCTGCATACTGAATAAAAACGTCAAACAAATAAAAGTAACAACAACAATAATAAAAAACATATCACTGCATTCTACACCCAGCTCTGATTTCACAGTTACAACTTTGAAGGCAGGGTCAGCCACTTCTGCCTGTGCCCCAGTCAAGCCCAGAGGGCCTGGCAAGAGCTGGCAGAGTGAACTATGACCCAGCAGGCTTGTCCCCATTTCTGCTTTTGGAACCAGTCCCTTTCTTGCATCTGGTTTGCCCGAAGTGACTCCAAGACCATTCCCCTGCGTCACCTGGGCCAGGCCTGGCTTTCCCAGCTCCTCCGCAGCTGCCTACACTGGACCTGGTCACCGAGGATTTCAAAATTTCAAACACTGAGGATGGACACAGTGTACAGCTTAGGCTTTTTGTGTGCCAGGCCCAGACAGAAACAAGTCCTGAGCCCAACCAGTCTCCCACGCTCTGGTGAGTGGCTGGCTTACAGGTTTCCTTTCTCCTTCAGGGGAAATGCCCTTGACATTGTATAAGTACTTTTTTTTCCCAGGTGAGCCAGCGGAAGCGAAAAGAGAATGCCCCAATCTACTCACAGCTACATTGTTCTCCCAGTCGTTTAAACCTGTGCCTCAGGAGCACAAGCTCCTGGTGTGGCTCTGGCCAACTCCAATTCTTTGACCCCAGAGTTTCCCTGGCACTATATTCGAGGCAGCACTGATTAAAATCATACCTTGTTCAAATTGCATTCTTATCGATTTCTGTAGAAGACAACAAAAGGGGAGCTTGTTTGTAGTTGCTGTCTCTCGAGCACAGGAGTGGGAGCGGGCGCAGAGCAGCTAGCGGCGAGAGCGGGCGCCGAGCAGCTAGCGGCTAGAGGCAAGTACTGAACCTAAAGTCAAAAACGCAAGACGTGAAGATTAGATTCCTTTTCCCCCTTTGGATCCGCTCATTACTTGGTTCTGAGAGAATGGGAGGCATTTCTAATGAAATGTTCTAAGTGTCAAAATAAGAGATAATTGAAATTATCCCTAGCTCTGGCAAGTGCTGGTTTGTGTGTTATGAATTCAAGTTGAATGCGATTTCTACTCCTTGCAGTTGGTATTACAGTATAAAAGCTAGGAAATTGAACAGTAACAGCAAAGCATTGCTGTTTAATTCCATTATTGTTTACTCTTTATGAAGAAAATGGACTGAGCATGTGGACAAAGCGACACCCCTGAATTATGATTAGTTAATTCATAAAGTTAAAGGGGACAGAATATTACGAGCATATTTGCCAGCAGCATGCCTTGGACTTCACATTTATTGGTTATTTACAATTTATATCTTGAATTGTGGGCATTAAGAGTACTTTTTGTTTGTGTGTAAGGAGATGGAGGCACATGTCTCCTGGTTAAGACGGGTGGACGACAAGGGTGGGTATCTCTTCCCACTTGAAATGTCATGACCTTTACAAAAAAAAAACCTTAATTTTTCAAATCCACCAATAATAGGGCACAAGAAGTCATGAAGGGCAGTGAGTGTTGAGATGGGAAACCGGTACCAGAAGCCTGAGGTAAACCAGTCACAAGACCACATGAAAGATTAAATTTCATGAGAGAAAACCATGAGAAATGAAGCATTAAGAAATTCTCCATCATGCCTCACAGGACCCAGCAAAACTAATGCAAACAGGGAAGAAAGAACAGAAGGAACAGCTCAACCAACTATAAAAATAACCAATAAAGTTTTGGAGATCTACAAATCTCTCTAAATGACCCTAACTGTAAAAGGCCCTAAATCTCAAATTAAAAGCTCAGAATTACAGTGACAGCGTTATAAGACTGACCCTTCTACGCGCTGTCTCCAGGAAGCAAACCTCCCTGACAGAGACATTCACACACGTCAAGTGAAATGATGAATTCAATTTGTCAAGTAAGCAGACGCTAAAAGCAAACCAGTGCACCTGTTTTGCTATCTCACCACAGAAACTTTAAGCTAAAATTAACCAGAGGAGGTAAGAAAAGCTGGCACATATTAAGAAAAAGAACACTCCATTTGCTACAATCTTTTGTTACAAAAAGAAAATGCAGCAATTGTAGGGACCAGAGAGACTCTCAATAGTGAAGAGCATTTACTGCTTTTGCAGAAGACCTGGGTTTAGTTCCCAGAACCCATATGGTGCCTCACACATCTGTAATTCCAGATCCAGGGAACAGGATGCCCTCTTCTGGCCTGCATGTATGGGCACAGATGTACATGCGGGCAAAATATTCATACCCGTACACATAAAGTAAAAATAAGCAAGTATTTAAAAAATATGGCTATTATAACATATACCAATGAAATCTAGAGAATCATTAAGGATTACTTTAAAAACTTATCTTCCAAAATAGAAAAACCAATCTAGAAGAAATGAGCAAATCATTAGACATATATTATTTATCAAAATTAAATCAAAAAGGCAATAAATAGTTTTTTGATTATTTATTTATTTATTTACTTCTCTGCTCCAGTTTCCCCTCCTTCCACTCCTCCCAATCTGTTCCCCATCTCCCCTCTCTGTCCCTGCCCCCATTCACTCCTCCTCTGTTTCTCTTCAGAAAAGGGCAGGCCTCCTGGGGATATCAACCAGTCATGGTATATCAAGTTACAGTGAGACTAGGCACCTCCCCTTTTATTAAGGCTGGATGAGGCAACCCGGTATGAAGAAAGGGTCCCAAAAGCAGGCAACAGAGTCAGAGATGGTCCCTGCTCGCACTGTTAGGAGTCCCATAAGAAGACCAAGCTACACAACTGTAACTTATGTGCAGAGGGCCTAGGTCAGGTCCATGCAGGCTTCTTGGGAAATAAACATCTTAACAAGCAGTGTGACCGGAGCAGGAAAAGAGGTTCCCAAGGAAAAAAAAAAAACAACTGAGGATCAGTCCGGTCTACTTCAAACTCTACCAGACATCAGAGAGGAGCCCCAGCCCCTGTCTCTCCCCATCACAGCGCTGGGGTTACAAGGTGCAAGGTCAAACCCAGGTTTGAGTGCTGGGGATTTGAACTCAGATCCTCTTGCTTGTACAGCAAACTCTCCCACCCAGCAAGCCATCCTGCCAGTCCTCAGCGAACATTTTAAAGGAGTTGGTGTATTCGACGGCTGTGAAACTGCCCCAGATACTTCCATGTTGTCTCCTACGTGAAGGCTTGCTTCTGAAGCGCCGAGGTCTCTTCGCTTCCTCCACAAGTCTTCTTCCTCCTGGAAGGCTCTCCTGCCATGCCTGGGCTGTCTGTTACCCTGATGGTTTGTCTGGTAAGCTGACAGGTGTCAGACATTGTTAGAGAAGAGCCCCGGAACTCGAGACACAAAGTGACAGAAATCTTGCTTATGTAGCGCTAGTGACATTTCCTGCAGAGACAGGGGAAGTGGTTCAGCCCATCACACTGCAGTTCCTGCCTTGAGGAAATCAGAACAATGCCCATCACTGTCCAGGAGTTTTGTGGACCTGGCAGATTGGTGGGGACAGAGAAATGACAGTTGGTTTGACTTTTTTTTCAACTCTAACTTTTCACAAAACCCAAAGCATTTGTTTTTTCTTTTAATTTTTAGTTATTTAAATAAGCCACCATTGAGAATTGACTGAAGTGTCTTTCAACAACAGCAGATGCCCTGAAGCCTCAATGAATTTGTAAAAATAAAGAGATTTTTTTCCTCCAATTCCACAAAAGAGAAAGTACCCTTAAGCCTTAACAAAGCAAATAATAATCCATTCTGAAAATGCAAATAGCATTGTCTCTTAAAGTTGAGCTAATTTGAATCTCATAAGCCAAGCCCACAGATAGTGATGGGGGATTCCCCTCTGTATGCTATGAATATGTTTTATTACCATTGGCTAATAAAGTAACTGCTTTAGTCTATGGAGGGCAGAATATAGCCAGGTTGGAAGAGATATAGAGAGACAGTAGGCAGAGTCAGGGAGAGGCCATGTAGCTGCCGAAGGAGAAAGAACTTCACCGGTAGACCACAGCCTCATGGTGATACATAGATAAATAGAAATGGGTTAATTTAAGATGTAAGAGCTAGCTAGGAATATGCTTGAGCTATTGGTCAAATAGTGTTATAATTAATATAGTTTCTGTGTGATTATTTAAGTCTCAGCGACTGAAAAATGAATGAGCAGTCTCCATTTACAGATTAATATGTAAGAGTTAGCCAATAAGAAGCTAGAGCCAATGGGCCAAGCAATGTTTTAATTAATACAGTTTCTGAGTGATTATTTCGGGTCTAATCTAGCCGGGCGGCTGGGAACAAAACAAGCACTCCCTCCCGCAGCACTCATGTCTGCACTCTCCACCCCTAACTGGTGATGTTCTTTAGCAGGTTGTAGGACTTTAGGGATCATGGCCTCAGTGGCAGGAGTGGATTACCGGGGTCAGTCCTTGAAGTTGATATGGACTTCTGGTTCTGCTGAGTCCTCTGCTGTCTGGTTCCTGATCTAACAGAATGCAATAAGTCATACTGCGAATCCCCTCTGCCAGGGATGGAGACATCCTACCTGCCAGTGCTTTGCTGCCTGTGGGGATCTGACTTTGCAAACTCCATTTTAAAGCAGGGGCTTCATCTTAAGTCATATAATGAGCTGGGGATGGGGAAGATCTCAGCTCCAGAGATGTATAACAATAACAAAGATTTAAACAGATACCCTAAAAATAGCCAATTAAGGAGCTAAGGAACAGGGCCATAAAATTTAGCAATGTCCAGATGTTCCTCGGAGGCATTCTGTCCTTGAAGATACCTTGTCAGTAATTTATGGCTCTTTGTTAGGTTTTGAGCCCCCAAACTGACCAGTGGTTTCAGAAACTACCTTACCCTATGCCCTCCTTACCCAATCCCAAGACGACAGAAGAGCTCCTCTGGTTACAGCATTTCCCTGTAAAAGTTCTTCCCTCCCAGGGCTCCCTGCCACACTTTCTGCACCCACCATGCTGGGGTGCTAGAAAGGTGTTGGTCCAAACTTGAGTTTAAATATTAAAAACCCTCATGTAATTTGCGTTGGAAATCCACTCCATGAATTCTTTTGGGGACCAGAAACTTGGACATAACATGCCACAATGGAGTCATATTCTCTTAAACTCTGAGTCAAAATAATTCCCTCCCCCATCTGTGGCTTGGCTAAGCATTTGTTACAGAAACTGAGGGGAGGATAATCAGTACAGACACATACACTGTCATAGGGGTTTTCAGACTCCTTTTAATATACCCATCCCTTCCTCACACTGTCTTACGGGGGACTGAGTCTCCAACATACAAGGAGTAGGGGATATTTAGTGTATGACATTCTGTTCTTGGCACCACCAAATGCATATGCTTGAATGCTGAATGCATTCAAAAGTCCTAGTTAGTTCCTGTGTCCATTCTTGGACACTTAGAAAGTTTAAAGCTTGGAATTCCGAGTCTCACCTTAATTAGATGTTAGTGAGACTCTAGGCAGAGCTCATTCCTATGGTAAAATCCCTTTCTAGCTTCGAACTCACAAAATCAGAGGAATTCATGTTTCTGACATTAGATAGTGTGTTAGGCATCAGACAGACACTCCCAATTAGAAGGTAGAAACAGAAAAAAGGAAGTGTTAACTGTTCCAAACAAAGTCCATTTCCACCGGGCCATTCGGGAATAGTTCACGTTGGCTTCATTTCTACCCCCTAGTCTTACTGGGGTGGTGTCCCTGTCTCTTTAACCCTGCCATGGGTGCTCCCCAAGGCTTCAGGCAGTAACCCTTGTAAGTCTCTGGAAGACATTTATTGGGATGATGAAACTAGGGTGACCATTAAACCCAAGAAAGCCCACTGTAATAGCCTCTGACTTCCAAGGCCATATTGTATTTGAGACTAGAGAGATGTCTCAGTGGTTACAAACACTTGCTGCTTTTGCAGAGAACCTGGGGCTCCATTCCCAGAATCCACATCACAGCTCACAACTCTCTGTAACTCCAGCCCCAGGACACCTGACACAGAAAATATGTGCCGAGACACTCATGCCTGTGATAGCAACAATAAAGAAGCCCTTTGAAGTGGTTTAGAAAAAGAACTTGGAAACGTTTGGGGGAATTGTGGCTGTGGTGATAGCTCAGCCACTAGTGTGCTTGTTCTGCAGGCTTAAGGATCTGAGTTCAGGTCTCAGAACATGTTTAAAAATGTCCGCAGTGGTGGCGAGTGTTTATAATCTCAGTGCTGGGATGACGGAGACAGGTGGTCTATTGGTGAGTGGTGCTCAAACATGAGGAATCCATGCAAGATTCAGCATGATGACAGGGGATGCCCCAGTCTCCATTCTCCCAGAGATGCAGCAATGCTGACATTCCAAAGAGGTCGCAGAATGGATATTCCTTTTGACTTTCACACGGCGAAGACAGCATCTTTGCAGAATGTGGTTCCCCTGTATTTGTGACCATCTGCCTCTTCCCCTTCCCTTTCCTTTCTTCTCGCGACATTTCCTGTTTTAAAAGTGAGAGCACAAGCTCAGCTTCTCAGCCTGGCCACTCGCAGCTGCCCTTGCCGTCAACTGTGATCAACCCCCCACCCTCCCATCCCCACTACCCCGTGCACGTGCGCCTCGGATAGAGACGGTGCACCATGGCCTGCGGCTCACCCAGTGCAGCCACTGTTAGCATGCTCACTGTGCATCAGATCCTGTGCAGGGGAGAGGGATACAAAGGTGAATGAGAAGCTATGCCTGGCCAAATACCAGGAGGAAATCTGGTAACTGTAACTAGGCAATGCTGTAATAGAGATTTAAACGGACCTCGTGGTGTCGATAAAGATGGCTTTCCAGCTGGGCATGGTGACTCCCACCTTTAATCCCAGCACTCAGGAGGCAGAGGCAGACAGATCTCTGTGAGTAAAAGGCCAGCCTGGTCTACAAAGTGAGTTCTAGAACACCTAGGGCTACATAGAGAAACCCTGTCTTGATCCTCCCTTTCCCCCCAAAAAGATGACTTTTCATGCTGATATTCACGGGCACGCTTGCCCATGTGGCCAGAGCCTCTGTGTGACTGCATTGTCAATGTGCAGTGAGGTGAGAGGGAGCCCTGGAGGAAAGTCCGTATGTCCATCCTCCCAGAGAACCAGGGTTTAGGCCTGTTCAGGTGATCACTTGTTCATGTAATTTAAGTTCCCTAGATTGTTCTGGGCAATTAGCACTCACAAAGGACTGTACTCTTGCTCCCAGTGTATCACATGCTACAATTTAGGAAAAGTGGGAACCATCTCAAACAAAGACCCAAGGCAGGGGCTGGCCTGGGAGAGCAGGAAAGGGGGAGGCAATATAACCAATACAGCCGAGAGAAGCTGCATTGTGCAGTCTGTTAGGTGTGGGAGGGGAAAGAAAGCCTGTAATTTCTCTTTCTTTTTCTTCGTCATTATTATTATTATTATTATTATTTTAAGTTTGGAAAAGGAACCAGGCACTATTTCTCAGCTCAGGAGCTCTGCTACAGTTCGAGCTTGCCCTCAGAAGGTTGGTGGTGTGGGTGGATGGCATTGTTCCATTTAAAGTAGGGCAGCAGTTGGTGAGTGGTTAATTTAAGAGTCATTGGTCTGACAGAACAACCCATGCGTCCTCTCCCATCTGTGTGGGGGAGCAAGCCAGTGCTGCACTTACTGCTTGGGCTGAGTCCAAGGAGCAGATCTTAGCCGCCCTATGTGGAGGGGACGAAACAGAGGCGTCAAGGGGACTGAGCCAGGGTAAAAGCAGGGTCAAACTCTGGGTTTGAGTTTAGCTTAGCCTGTGCACTTGCCAACAAGCGTGGGTTTGGTGTTCTGCGTAATCACAACTTTTAGTACAAGGAGAAGAGATTCAGCAGGGTCTAGCCGAGGAAAGAGAGAGCCCTGGTGCACCACTGTTGATATAAGTGGGGGTCTGAGTCCCAGGGAGCTCATGGTGATTCCAGGTTCCTGTGTTCCAAGACAAAGACGAAAAGAGAAACACATGAATAGTGGCAGGAACAGACAGCTTATTAAGTGTGTATGTGAGGGGGGCACTTCCAAGGAGAACTGAGTGGGCCAGAGCTGTGAGGAATGCCAGAGGATCAATGGCAAACACCATGCAAATGATTGAGGCTTTTATATCCCAGCAACCCCAGCTTTTGGCTCATTTGCACAATGCACACTAGTTCTAGGACATGCTCTGTTATATGTTAGCCTTCGTGGGGAGAGGTTTCCCGTCTGGTTTCTTTTATAAATTGATTTTAATTCATTCTCTGTCATACTGTAGGGTCTGTGACTGAGACCACGTATCACTGGGAACCTCGTTCATGGAGCAGTTCCTTCATGACAGGACATCAATGTCAGAGGTACCACCCTCATCAACCCACACTCGACCCAGAAGACCCCATGGGGAAGTACCTTCAGGATGCTAGTCAGTTATCATAGTGACCTTCTCAAAGGTTCTCCTTGGGCTGAGACTCTTAATTGGCCTGTGTTTTACTTTCCTCTACTAGTGCTGTGGTACAATATACACTGACAGGATCAGTGTAAGGGGAGGGGTTTACAATCCATAATGGTGGGAGTATCCACAATCAGGTACCAGAAGGGGATAAAGAGTCCAGAATCCCAGCCAGGGAATGATGCTGCCCACAGTGGGCAAGCCTTTCTACCTCAATTAATGTGGTCAGGATAATGTCCCACAGACATGCTAAGAGGCCCAGCTCTCACTTGGCTGTAGATTCTGTCCAGTAGATAAGCAATACTAACCATCACACCTCGGCATGATCACTAACTTGGAATTCCTCCAGCAGGTTTATGAACTGTCCAAGACATGTTTTAAAAGTCATGAAATGCGTTAGTAAAGCATTAACTGCAACCATTCTCCAGTGGTCTCTGTCACCATGGACCTCTTCTCTTCCACTGCCTATGCTGAAAACCACTCAGAGAAGCCTCCAGTCACCCCCACAGGGGAAAGTCAGCTAGCACCAGGAGGGAAACAAGAGGGTTTCCCCTTCAGCTTTCCAGTTTGGGGGAATATAGCAAATGACGTAAAAATCCCTCTTGTATACTGTATGCAATCAAGATTTGTCATAATACAAATGACAGAAGAACAAAGCTTTCACTCCACTTCCTCCTTCTAGAAAAAACATCCTGTTTGCCTCTGATGTGCAAAGAAGTAGGTGAGAGAACAGAGTCATAGAACACTCCAAGCATGTATGCACTTCCATGACCCGCTGCCTTTAATGATTTGCATATATGTAGGCAGTAAGAAGCACTTGTCTGTCACCAATGCCGGGGAAGAACTCATGAGTGCCTCATGTGACAATAACATGAGGAAGGTGGCAGAGGCCCATGCCTGGGACACCGAGGCAGGCTGCCCCTGGGGCTCAGTGGCCAGCCAGAAAGCTGAACTGGTGAGTTACAGATTCAGTGAGAAACCTTGTCTGGAAAAATAAGGCTCAGGACTCAGCAGTTAGAGCACTGGCTGCTCTCACAGATGGTGTGGGATGACCCTCTGTATGCTGTGAATATGTTTTATTACCATTGGTTAATAAAGAAACTGTTTTGGCCAATGGCTTAGCAGAGTAAAACCAGGCAGGAAATCAGAACAGAGATAGAAAGAGAGTAGGTGGAGTCAAAGAGATGCCACGTAGCTGCCGAAGGAAAAGGACACGCTGACAAACCTTACCAGTAGGTCACAGTCTCATGGTGATCCATAGATGGATAGAAATGGGTTAGTTTAAGATGTAGGAGCTAGCAAGAAATATGCCGGAGACATTGGCCAAACAGTGTTGTAATTAACATAGTTTCTGTGTGATTATTCAGGTCTGGGCAGTTGGGAAGTGAACGATCAGTCTCCGGTTACTCACAGAGGATCCAGGTTCAGTTGTCAGCTTCAAACTGCAGCTCACACCCTGCTATAACTCCAGCTCCAGAGGATCTAATGCTGTCTTCTGGACTCTTCAGGCATTGCAGTCATGTCACCTAGTGCTGCCCCTTCTCACAATTAAAAAGAAAATAAATCTTAAATATATATGTATACACACACACAGACACACACGCATATATGGTGAAGAATGACTGAGGACTGGCATTGGTTTACAGTTTTCATATACAGGTGAACACACACATACATACTCATACACATGAACAAGCACACACTTGCACACTTACATACACGCACACACATTCACACATGTACATGCACACACATGCACACAGAGCTCATTAATCCTTACTCCTAGTTTCATGCACCTGTCTCAGCACGAAGCTTCCACAGCTGTTTTTTAAGAAGCCTCACCTCCCTGTCTGTCAGAAGCAGTGGACACCACATTGCCAAGACATGGGTTCTTGCTGTTTTTACAAGACCCACAGAACTCTCTTTGAAAGCTAACTTCCTGGCACCAGCATGGCGGTGTCTTATGTGCTTAAAATTCCATCTGTGCAAGTCCAGACACGACCCGAGCACTTGTCAGGTCTAGTTCATCTCAGCCCTCCCAGGGCTCAGCTTGCATGAGGGAAGACTTCCTCAGTCTCAAACACCCATCCCGCTGAGCCAGCAGCTCCCTCTGTCCCAGCTCAGGCAGCCTGCGATTGTTGACAAACTTGGGCAATTTCATTTGCTCTGCCCAGTGTGGACTGTGAGCCTGCCAGGACTCCTGCTGGCTTCTAGATAAAGACGAGATTCCAGGAAAGGCTGAGCTGTGCTTGCCAAACCTGGCCTAAGTTATAGGCCAAACACACAACCCAAGGAAGACAGCCAGGCTGGTGTCTTTCTAGAACTTCTGGAACCCAGGGCTTCTGGAAGATTAGCCAGCTTCTCTCATTACAAGATGAGATCCCAAGATTACAAGACCCTAGGTAATCATTGGAGCAGATGCACATTGTCCTCCTACACCCCATTCTGGGAGAGCTGCACGTGGTGCAGGGACTGAGTCAGCAGACACTGCTCAGTTCTCTTTCTCTGGGCTGGCCTAGGCTGCAGAGAGCACACCATGCACAGCACAGGGAAATCTGTAGCTAACTTTCCATCTTTATCATGAAATACTGCTAATGTTCAAAGAGTAAACATCTATTTACCTTCAGTTTAGAGGACAGAACTTTGTGGCTTGCCCTTGGGCTGCCTCGCCTCACGGTAGATGGGCATTGTGGCTATAATCAACAAGTGATTATGTTTCAGACCAGAAGAGAGTGGTGGGGTGGGGCCGAACTCAAGTTTTTAAAACAGTCATTGCTCAAGAATTACTTCCTGAGGACATGACCCTAGGGGCCTGAGGAACTTACCTCAGCCATTTCTGAATAGCAACACCCTGCACAATAACCTTTCAATCACAACAGAGCACACTGATTAAACCGTGGACACCATGCGGCAGCAGCACAGGCCACTGACAAGCCTGCCACTCTGAACCAATGACTGCTTTGAATGCCACTAAGAAGCAGCAGATGAAGAAAACCCCTGAGAGCCACATTCATCCCATAAATTGATGACAGTGTCCCCTTCTCTCCACCGGGCAGGGCAGGTGTCAGTTAGACAGCACTAGCCCTGTGTCTGCCCATAGGCAGCTCCATGTGGTCTACCCAGAGGGAATGGACAGCAGGGGCTGCTCCAGCTTTGACTCAGAGACAGAGGTAAGGAGAAGGCATTCTGGGTGGGATGCTGGGAACCAGCAGCTGTGAGAAATCTAGCAGGGACTGTGGAGTAAGCAGAGGGTAAAAGATGCTAGGCCATACAGTGATGGATGAGAAGCTGAGAACCTGAGTTAAGTGGCTCAAAGCTCCGAGGTTGGTGGTAGTCAGCCACACCCTCGGCATAGTCTTCACGACCTTGGACTGGTTTCTGTTACTGCCCTCACAATGGTTCTCAAACACAGTTGGGCTCCTTCACCCTGAGTTCTGCACCCACAGATTCAGTCAAGTATGGGTGTGAAAACCATAGATATCTGTGCTCCGAACATGTATATATTTTTGCCCTCTTCAGGGATCATGTGTGTGATTTGAATACTTGTGTGCGTGCACATGTGTGTACAGGAGTGTGGAGGCCAAAAGTAGATGTGGGACATCCTCCTCCCTCATTCTCCACCTTATTTTCTGAGACAGGGTCTCTCGCTGAACCTGGAGCTGGCTGATTGTCCACGCTGGATGGCCACTGAGCTCCAGGACCTTTCCTGTCCTTGCTGTTCCACATGAGCGCTGGAATTGCAGACTTGTGCCTGCTCTGACATCATTGCTGGGGATTTGAACTCAGATTCTTGGGTTTTCAAGGCAGGCACTGTGCCAACTCAGCCACCTTTCTAAGTCCTGTCCTTATATCGTAAACCTGCATAATGATTTACAGTCACACTGTGTGAGGCCTTCTAAGCCACCCGGAACTGGTTTGCAGGGCTTAGGGCAGGAAAAGTGTTAAGGCAGCATTGCACCCTTTCACACAGGGATGGGTGCACTTTTGGGTGTTGATATCATCCTGGGTTTCAGAATCAACTCCCCGGAAACAGAAGGACAACTGTCTTCTCATTCCTGCCCTTTGCTTGGGGCCTTCTCGGAGTGCTTGCTGTAGTTGCTTTCCTGGGGAGTTTGGAAGCACCCCAAGTCCCAGCTTCCCCGTTCATTGGCATCTGTGTTTTTATTTGCACCTTGGTTGCCTTGAGAGTACACTTGCTCCTCTGACCGTGGCTGCTTCTCAGACTGGAAGCCTTGGGTAATCTCTGAGTTTCCCCTTGTCTTTTTCTCTAATGTTTCCTTCTGGGAGAGCAGCAAGCCCTCTCACCAGCTGAGCCATCTTCCTAGCTCTTTTAATTAGTTTCACTCTTTTTAATCTTTGTTCCAGACATATAACCAGACTTTCAGCAACCCCCAAGTTGGGCATCAAAACCCACCAGGTCTCAAGTCACCCATCTCAAACCCAGTTTCTCTTCCACCCTCTCTGAGCCTCATGAAATTTATCCAGGGTTCTGTGTTCCCTTTAGCCATTTACGAAATTAGTTTGTGTGACTGGGGAGTGAGAACGGGAACTCCCTATGAGGCAGCCATCACCAGTGTCTAGACCCTAGAACAGGCTCTGAGGCCCCGTGACAAACCCATCCTCAAAGCAAAGGTTTAACCCGGCACCTGCTGATGCTCATGTAGAATCCCTACCATGGTAGGGCAGCCTCCTGTGGCTACACCATTGGAAGCAGGTGGACTTCAGTGTGCCAGGGCTAGGGAAGAAACTGACAGGATTTCTCAGGGCCAAGTCCCTAAACTGAGCTTCAGAGGAGGGTGGGTGGGAGTGCTTTGGAGTTCCCAGAAGAGAGAAGGCTCTGTAGCAGCTGAACCCACATGTGAGTGTGGCTGTCCCCAAGGTTCCTGTTACACAAGCCTTCACTCCTAGCATCAACTTTGAGGTTGAAATGCTTTTAGAGAAGAGAATTGAACATAGGTTCTTCTCCTGTAACTGCTGGGGACAAATTTAAGACAAGTAACCTTTGTAAAATTTTTCTGAAGGAAGATGAAAGGCAGACTTCTGCTTTGGAAGACATAATGGGACTAACACAGAAGGCTTAAGAGATGTGTACCAGGTTTGACAACACACTAGCTATCCCTCCCCCATATCTACAGACACAGTCACAAGCGTGCCCGAAGACTAAGTTATAGAATTAATTTTGCATTCATAGCTGACTGTTATAAATAATGATGCTTGTAAATGTTGATTCTGCCATGACCGTGTAACATGGCAAGTTCTATTTATGAGTAGAGGAAAGGAAATTGCATAGAGAAGACAGGGAACTACAAAAGTGACTTGATTGGTTGCAACTCTTGTCTGTCTTACGTGAATGTGGTTTTGATTGGCTGAGACGCATGGCAGTAGTAGGTTACAAACTGACACAAATAAACTTTGGTTACAATTTGTCGTGTGTGAAGGAAGTTTTAACCCCAACAAAATAAACAGGGAGGTAGCTTTGGATCAAAGTTCACACAACTGAACTTGCACCAATCTCTATTTTTCCACCTTGCAGGTGAACACAATTCTTAAGTGTCCGGCCCAAGCAGGCCAGTAGGGGGAACACAAACGTGGACACATTGTGGATACATTCTGTAACTGAATTTTGCAGCTTCTTCCCAGCACTGAGCACTTGGGCTAGTTACGGCTTCTGCTCTGAGAAGTCTGGGGAGAACCTGTCTCCAAAGAGATGAGTTAAATCGGGCAACAGAAGTCCTCAGCCACACGGTTGTAAAATCCTTGAAACAGGTTCTTCATGTAGCCCAGGCTGGCCTACACTCAGCATGTAGCTGGGGATGTTCTTAAACGCTGTGCTGCTTGTTTTTTATATTTATTTATTTATGTCAAATTAACCCAAACCTAGACGTAATCAGGAAGAAGGAATGTCAGCTGAGCATTGCTGTCATCAAAACGGCCTGTGGACATGTGGGCAGGGAACTGTCTTGGTTGTTGACTGACGTGGGAAAGCTCAGCCCACTGTGGGTTGCTGGTCACAGATTGTATAATAAAGCCCGCCGAGCAACCAATAGGGGACAAGTCTGTAAGCAGCATCCCTTTATGGCCTGCGCATCAGTTCTTGCCCTGATTTCTCTGGGTGACAGACTGTAAGCAGTAAGATGAAATATGTCCTTTCTCCCCCAAGGTGGTCAGTGTTGTACCACAGCAGCGGAGAGGCAAACTGGGGCAAACTTACTGTTTATTATTAGTTAAGTTTTTCTGCTTTGATTATTTTATTTTAAGTGTATGAATGTTTTGCATTCATATATGTCTGTGTACCACATGCATACAGTGCCTGAGCAGGCTGGAAGAGGGTGTTGAAACAGCAGCTATGGATGGCTATGGCTGTGAAGGAGCTTGTGGGAGGTAGGACCTGAACCTGTGTTCTCTGTAAGAACGAGTGCCCTTAACCTCTCTCCAGCCCTGCTATTTTATTATTATTATTATTATTATTATTATTATTATTATTATTATTATTATCATATGTATTGGTGTTTTGTCTGCATGTACATCTGGGTGACGTTGTCAGATCCCCTGGAATTGGAGTTACAGATTGTTGTGAGCTGCCATGTAGGTACTGGGAATTGAAACTGGATCCTCTGGAAGAGAAGCCTTTGTTCTTAGCCGCTGAGTCATCTCTCTGGTCCCCAACTGTTTATTATTTTTTAGTTTTATTTTTTAATATAAAATTGACCTTGAACTATTTTTGTAAATTCATTTTATTTTTTTAAGCAAGTGTGTGTGTGTGTGTGTGTGTGTTTGTGTGAGGGCGAGTGTCGGAGTTCTCAGAGGCCAGAGGCATTGAATCCCCTGGAGATACAAATGTTTGTGAGTCACCAGTGTGGGTGCTGAAGCAAACTTGGGAGCTCTGGAAGAGCAGCTGGAGCTCTGGGCCACTGAGTGACCTCACTGGCTCCATGACTTTGGGCTCTTGGTCCTCCTGCTTTTGTCACCTGAAAACACAGGTCTGTGTCGCTAGGCCTAGATTAAATTTGAATATTTTAATTTTAATTTTTGAAAGCTAACCTACACATATTAGTTTAAACAACGACTCCAGGACATTGTCTTAAGAAAAACGCTCTTTCTCCTGTGGCAAAGGAACATGGTTG